CATTGATAACGGGGATTTTTTAAATTAGAAAGTTTTAAAAAGGAGCAAAACTTGAAATAAACGAAAAATTGTGGAAACCAAATAATCAACCCAATAAATTAATTTCCAAACCTAATTTTCTGAATTCTAACAAAAGATTGGAGTTCTTCAGTCAGTTTTTCTGCTGATTCTTGTTCTTCTAAAGCATAGTCATCAAATAGACGGTCTTCCCGCAACAATTCACCGGCCTAAAAAATAATCTTGAAACCATAGTAAATAATTAAAAACAACCTCTTTAGAATTTTAAAACTTCTGGGTACTTTCAAAGCTGAAAATTAAGTAAATAAAAAAAATTTAACCATAAAAACTTATAAAAAGTTCAACTATTCAAAACAAACAAATCGGTACATCCAACCATCGAACATTTGCTGTGCGTCTTCTCGTCCTGGCCATGGCTTTAAACTTCAATTAAGGGATAAACTTATTTAAGGGAGAAACTTGGCGGACAAGACTTGCGGATATTTAATAAAGTAAAAAAGCAAACCATGTTGACGAGAGCATTGGAATTTAATCGTTGAGATTGCCCAGAATCGCCGAAGCGAATGGGACTTTTGCTGCCCAGAATCGCCGAAGCGAATGGGACTTTTGCTGCCCAGAATCGCCGAAGCGAATGGGACTTTTGCTGCCCAGAATCGCCGAAGCGAATGGGACTTTTGCTGCCCAGAATCGCCGAAGCGAATGGGACTTTTGCTGCCTAGGACTTTTGTTGTTGTTGCTGCTGCTGAAGAACTAAAAAAATTGGATACATTTTTCAAAAATTGAAAAAAGCAAGTCTTGTCCGCAACTCAATTCTACCCTCCCCCCTAAAAAGGTTAACCCCCAAAAAAGGAAGAGCCATGCTTTGTGTTGTAGAACATCTTTGCTAAAATGGGAACAGTCAACACTAAATGAAACATCAAAAATCGATTATTGATTTTTGGGATGAAGTGTCATTTACTCTTAATGTTTTGCATTATGCCAAATAGCGCAAATTTTTGAATTCTGAAAAAAATATTCTTATATAATAAAAAGATAAATACAGCGGTTTTAAACCGATTTATGGATTTCCTAAGTATCCAACTTTACATAAATAAGAAATAAAGACAGAACTGTGTAATTTTCGAGGATTTCTCACAAAAAAATAAAATATAAGGTAATAAAAATCGAATTTTTATAATTATCAATATATTATGCAATAATATATGGTGCTGAAACACAAACTCCAACCACGGTTCCAATCATCAAAAACGAAAAAATATATAGGCAGAGACGATCAACCACCATTGCCGCAAATTTCTACAGAAAAATTTGTAATGTTAAAAAAACATTTTTAGAATACCCAGTTGCTCGATTGTTCGCCTTCTCGATCTGCCTCTGTCATTCTTCGAGTGATTAACTTAAAAAATTTTAACATTTATTAAAAGAAACTATTAAAGAGGAGTCAACCCTGACCAACACCCTGAGACTTACAATTTTTGAAAGGGAATATCGTAGGGTTTGGAGGAATTAAGGTAATATCGATGGAGGGGATAGAAAGCTCTACTTCCCAGAGTTATGGTACACAATCACAATACCGGACCATAGGTTCTAGAATATAGAACTGGGATCTCTGTAAAGCTGAGTATATCCACCTTAATCCCTCGATTATTCCCTTTCAAAAGTTGTAGGTCTTAAAGCCAAACAAGTCTCCAGTTTCCCCCATTAAAAACAAATTATTCAAAAAAATACCCTCAATTCTCTAGCAATTCTTTGTAATGTCAAAAGTAGAGCTTGATGTTCTCTATTTGAATCCACTTTGCTGCTTTCATTATCTATAGTAGCTCCTCTTTGTAACAACAGATTTTTTCTTCGACTACAATCACCATTTCCATAAAGCAATTGATGGACTCGATGATCAATTTCCAATGAAGCTCTTGAAATAGATTAATAAATTTAAATTCTTTAAATTAAATATTCAAACCTTGAGCCAGTTTCGTTGTCCTTAACATTCCGAATTAGTGACTGACTTTGATTTTTTGGCCTAGAGCAGGGCAACAATGAAGGTAGTGTTTCCTAAAATGGAAAAGGTTTTAGATGAATTACGATAACTTAAAGCAAACCCAGCTAAGAATTATCCCAGGCCTTTCCATGCGCAACATCCACGGCAGCCAATAGAGAAGAAGAGTGCGCGCCTATGTAAATAAAATAAAAAATTTAAAACTTGAAAATTACTGTTTTTCCCATTTCATGAGTTTCTGGCGTTCGATAATGCAAATTTAGAACCTAAAAATGAATTTAAAAAATAAATTTAAATAAATTTACATAGACAGTAAACACAGTAGATGCAGTAACTATCAACTAAAGAATAGAAAATATCTTAAGTAATTTAAATAAAATAAAAACCATGCATGAAGAAAAGAAAAGGCCAAGTAGAGGAACTGCTTCAGAAGTAGGAGGGGACATCTCTGATAGAATTGAGAGGAAAAAGCAGATGGATAGGAGGACAGTGATTTCTGGAAATAATAAAGATAATTTAAGGAATTTGAAAAAATTTTAAAACTCCAAAAAAAATTTTTAAGAGAAAAAATTTGATTAAAGAAAGGAGCACGTCGAAGGGAATTCAACCCTCGTCTTTAAAAAGTCAGTTGACTCAGATCAGTGAACTCTTAAGTCAACCCCTAAGCGCACAAATAACCCAGTGAACCCCTAAACAACAAACACAATTAAAAACTTAAACTAACGTAGAGTAATTTTTTCTCCAGCTTCTGGTGGAAGAGTAAAACCAAGAAGAGACATCATCGTTGTTAGAAGACACGGCATAATTAAATTAAATCGATAATAAAGAGTTCGACGTCTCATATGTAAATAAAATGTTAAATCGGGATAAGGCTCCTTTGGACAACAATCATAAAATTTCTCGCTTCGTGCCACTGTTGTCATAGGTAAAGCCCATTCTCCATTGGACAAATATTCACTTGTATCGAATCCTCCCTTAAATTGAAAAAATTTAATAAAATTAAAAAAGTTAACCTTTGCAGGTTGTAAATCCAAATAAAATCCTGAATAAGTCCATGAACCAAATTTAAAGAAACATCTTTGTTCGTCAAAGGGAAACCTTAAAAACAAATATAAAACATTAAAAAATTAATTTACCATTTAATTTCTATTTTACAGCTAATTTTGAAGATTCCTGGTGGCACCCAACTGATATCACCATTGCTATAGACAATCATATTTGTTGGGTATGTTGAATCAAAATTTGGATCAACAGAATTATACTTAAATTATAGATTATTAAACTCTCTATACAAGAAATCTCCATATAAGAGACTATAAGAGAGAAAAAAACCCCTACCAAAAGAACATCAGGCTTCCAAATTTTGCCAGCAGGGAAGCGAACATCACTTTAAAAAATTTCTTCTTAGAGCTATAAGTTAAACAAAAAATAAAACCTGATATTTCCATATTCATTAGGATCCCATCGCAATTTATAATCATTCCAAAGATAGTCTAGCCAAGCATTAACATGTACAATCTTTAAATTAAAAAGTTTATAAAAAATTTATTTTAATTTTTTACCTGATTCTTTTCGTCCACATCAATTAATTGCTGAAGAGACACTTTTAAATGTACTGTTACTGGATGAGAATGATTTTCCACAGGGCGTTCCAAAACATTATAGTCGCGCAGGAGATCTTCATACCTATAAAGAAAAAATTTTTTTAATATTTTTTTGGAAGGAGGACTTTGAAAAAATGTCCTTAGACCATAATAAATAAAAAAAAATAAAACTTACAATCTTCTTTCATGTGGACTAGCATGAACGGCCAAATATACAAAACAGAATAAAAAATAAAATAAATTAAATAAAAATAAAGTAAGTTTAATAATGCACTGAAGCATTTTTAATAAAAATCTACAAAGATTATTAACGTTTATTAACGAATAAAATCTTTTATTCAAAATTTTTATAATCAAAAACAATTTAAAAAAATTTTTGTTGAATTTTATAGCAGTGAAAAACAAATTTATTTTACAATTGTTTTTGAAAATTTTTTATTTTTTTATTTCTAACACTTTTTGCTAAAAGATCAGATATTTGAGAGAACATATTGAGAACAACTGCCAAAACTTAAATTTCTCAAAAAAACCCTCAAAAATCCAAAAAAATCAAAAACAATTGTTGGGATAATTTTTTAAGTGAAACCGAGGACTTGCACTTTTTGACTAAAATTTTTTGTTTTTAATGGGATAACAACAAAAATATTAATCCATAAAAAGTATAAATAATTGACATTTTCCTTTAGTCGATTAAATGACAAATTAAGGGCAGTGGGCGTCCATTTCAAACGGAAAAAAGTTAGACCAGACCATTTTACAAGGCATATTTTTAATCCCTCTAAATTACTTTTAAAAAATTGAAAGAGAAACAAAAAACTAATCTATCCCCAAAAATTGAGTTAAATTTTGAAAAAGGAAAAATAAATTATACTTGGGCATCTGCTTAAATTCTATTCAAGAAAAAAATTAATTATCCTTCCTAGAAAATAAAATCGTTAACCATATGGAACAGAGATGTCATGGGTTACCAGAAAATCGAAACATGATCAGAAAAGATTTCCAAAACCCGATCTGAGACCCAATACCCGGACTTCTTCCTGACTCGAAAAAGATCAGAAGAAATTTTTGAAGACCCGTCAAGAAACCCGACTAAACCTCGCTAACCTATCTAAAAAGAACACCCACTTAATTTTGACAATTTATGGATTACCAGGTAAACTCAAAATTTAATTTAAAACAAAATTTCAGTGAAAGACAAAGAGATCAATTAAGGGTTAATTTTTAAAAAATACTAGGCAATTGCTAATTAATCTGAAACCAATAAACAACACACAAGTGAATATATTTAAATTATTTTTTGATGATTAGAATTCATTAAAAATTCTTCTTTTCTTCACACCGGCTTTTTTTAAGTTTTTTATTGTCCATATTTTTAAAAAGTTTTAACCTTTAGTGCTTTCATTTCTCTTCCTTTTTCCCTTTTTATTAGCCAAATAAGGCAAATCATATTGCAATTTTTCCAAAATAGAGTCATCATGTTGTAAGTATTCACATTCCTCTAACTAAAAAATTTTCTTAAAATTTTACAAAAAATTTCAAAAATCCAAACCAATTTCGATTCAATTTGGAATAAGTGTTCATCAAATATATTTGGTGCCATACGTCTTTGGCAATCAGCAAGTCTGAGGGCATATTCCAAATTACTGCCGCTGCAACCACGACTTCGAATTATCTTTAAAATTTTTTTTTAAAAAAGGTTCAAAATGGTCAAATCAAAATTAAAACCTGTTTGACTATTACACTGATGTCACAAGGACCAGAATTGTAAATATTATCTCGACTGATTGGAGAAATATAGACATTCAGCGAGAAAGGCTCAGAACCATTAATTGGGTAGAATTCAACTATTTGCAACTAAAAAATTAAAATTGAAACTTTAAAGTTGAAAGAATATCAAAAATTAAACCTCATAACCAGCTCGCTCTCTCATGTCCAAATATTCAATAGTTTGTTGCACACGCTCTTCAGGAATTTTATAAGCAATTCCCCAGCAAGAACCTTCAGTATCTGGAACCAGGCTTACAACTCGACCAGGCTATAAAATTTTAAACAGTTGAGTTGCTATTAAAAATAAAGATTACACTATCAGGAGTGCCACGATGATCGGGACTCAGTTGCCAAAAACGACGGGAATATCCCATTACAACACCTGAAAAAATTTAAATTTAACATAAAGGAAAGCCAACCCCTCCCCATAACAAATTTGAAAAAACTAACCAGGGATTGCCAATTCATAGGAAAAATTTGGATTCCAAAGAAGAGAACCATAGCCGAAGACGAACATAATTTGTTTATTGGTCTCGTAGTTAGTAGAAAATAAATTTAAAAAATGTTGCAGCGGCCGATTAATTATACGGCTTTGTCAAATATTTACACAAAACCTGAAACCAAAATTAAAAGAAATTAATTTTAAAGATCGAAGAAATATAGAAATACAAGATAAAATAAATCGGTAAAAAACGCGTTTAAATGTCGAATAAATAAACAAAAAATTGTGTATATAAAAAAATAAACAATAAAATCAAAGCTAAAAAAATATGCAGAAAAGTAAGGATCGCGCAAATTGAAAAACAAGAAAAATACTCGCAGTATTTCCCCCCTCATTAAAAAATAATTTTAAAAAAATATTTGGTAATAGTGTCGTTTCCAGGCCCCATTTTTTCCCCCAATTTTTTACCCTATGTTTGTAGGAATGGTCAAATTTTCCCCTTTCTTTCATCAAATTTGCCTTTCCATATTTTGCCTAAAAACAATCAAAAAGATTAATTTGTGATATTTAAAAAAGTATTAGAGTAATGAGAAGAATCATTTTCCCAATTAATAAAAATGAAAGACTGTTGTTGTGAGACGAAAATATAAAAGAGGCAGACAACCATCAAAGAAAGATGTATGGATGATTAGGGGCGTTGAGAGAAACACCAAGCTTTTTGATTGTTTTTAGGCAAAATATGGAAAGGCAAATTTGATGAAAAAAGGGGAAAATTTGACCATTCCGTACAAACATAGGGTAAAAAATTGGGGAGAAAAAATGGGGCCTGGAAACGACACTATTACCAAATATTTAATAATCAGAGTAGGAATATACTGCAAATTTATTTTTAATATCCGAAGCAAGAATTGAAGCAATCATTTGAGGCGACGCCATTGCTCCATAACCCTTATCACCACACATAAGTTCTTTTTCGATTGGTGGAATTTCCTATAAAAAGAGAATTTAATTCTTTTAATTTCTGGTGAAAGGATACGGAGAGGAAATTCAAACAATTACCCTATAAAGCAAAAGCTCCTTCAACGTCTTCAAATGTTGATAAGTTAACGGATTTTCCCACATTGCAGTATTCCTTCAAATTTTTAAAATTAATGTTTTAAAAAATATTATAAAATAAACATTGCTGGTGCAAAATACAAAAACTTCTTCTGATCCCAAGCACGAATTAAAGAAGTTACTAAATTATCACTAAAGCCATTAGCGATCTTTGCAAGTGTATTAGCATCCAAAGGAGCAATAACTAATGAATCTGCCCATTTACGAAGCTCTTTAAAAATAATAATAAGGCGGCAATTCAGAAGTCTATAAATACCAATATGCAAAACAGGATCTCCACGTTTCTTCCACATGTTCCATTCATCTCGATCTTCATATACAGTTACATCACCCATCTCCTTCGGGTCAAAGAAATTGAGAGCACTTTGAGTTGTTACAACCTTTTGATTCAATTTTAAAAGAAAAAATTAAAACTCTAAAAAAACCTTTACAACAAGCTTATTAGGTGGTGATTGACGTTTAAGTTCTTGTATAAGTTCATTTGTTTTGATAGCAGCAACACTTCCAGTAACGGCCAAAATTATATGATATTTACCTCCAAGACGTGTAATTCTGTGTCCGCTATCAAAAGCTGGACGTTGTTGAAATGGAATAGACAAAAGCGGGACAGAATGTGAAGGCTTAAATAAGCAAAAAATCATTAACACAAAAATAAACAAAAACTAACAAAAAATAATGGCCCAAGGACAGCCCCTCCTCTAAAATTAACCCCCAAAAAACAAATAAAAAATAAACCCGAGCTCCTCCATTTGCTTCACTCGCAACAATTTCAAGATTAATTTCTGCTCTCAAAGGTTGTTCATTTAAAGTAGTGTCATCTTTATCCTCATTATCGCTTTCCATCTCCACTTTACCACGTTTTTCAGGCGGAGAATTGTTTGTCTCTGATGGTGAGGTATCCATCTTTAGCCTTTAAAAAATGCTAAAAATAAATTAGAAAAGTAAACATTGCAGAGCAAAATAAAATTATTTTAAGAGACTCAAGTAAATATTTTAGAAAAATGCTAAAATTAGCTATTTTGGTACTTATGAAGATGGAGGTGCCCTTTCTGCGGACTTTTTTTTGCGGACTTTTCTTCCTTTCTTTTACATATTTTACTTGTAGCAACTAACTGTCAAAGACCCTCCCCCTATTATTTTTCTCGTGTCCGGACAAAATATCGAATCGTTAAAATATGGAATAGGCTAAAAAAGGGTTAAAATCTCGAATCGGGTAAAAAGGGGTTAAAATCGCGAATAGGCTAAAAAGGGGTTAAAATGTGGAATCGTTAAAATATGGAATGGTTAAAATATCGAATAGGCTAAAAAAGGGTTAAAATATGGAATCGTTAAAATATGGAATGGTAAAAATGTCGACACGGCCAAAATTGGTCAAAATGTCGAATTTTTTAAAAATGGCGCCAAAACTAGAATCCGGACGGTACCGTAATACCGATGGTATTTTTCGGTATTCCGTGTCGGTTGTACGGTACGGAATCCGACCGATAAAATTTAAAAGCTGATCGGTATTTTTCGGTATTTCGTACCGTATACGGTAAGGTCAAACTTTAGGTCTTAACTAAAAACTAATGCACACCACTCTAATTTTTCCATATCAGGATCGCGTTATGTTTTCCGGATCCGTACGATCATGCCGGACCGGATCCGGTCGATTATGCTTGATTTATCCGGTCCGGTTTTACTCGGTAAAATACAATGAACTCTGGCAGAAAAGATTGCGCCGGACTACGACATAAGAGACTTATCAATCAACTTATCATTAATAAGTTGATAAGTTGATAAAATCATCTACAATCAACGTATGGCACTCATCTGACCCTTTTTTAAAAGAATTCGACATTTTGACAGATTTTGGCCGTGTCGACATTTTTACCATTCCATATTTTAACGATTCCATATTTTAACCCTTTTTTACCCGATTCGATATTTTAACGTTTCCATATTTTAACGATTCGGTATTTTAACCCCTTTTTAGCCTATTCGCGATTTTAACCATTCCATATTTTAACGATTCCATATTTTGTACCGGAGCCATTTTTCTTACCTAAGTTTGTACATAAAGGTCAGATTTTCTGCTTCCTTTCCTTCCTCTATTTGCCCTGTGGCATATTCAAACAAGAGACATTGGTGAAGAGAAGATTAATTTCATAGTCATACACTTATTTTTTGCCTTCGAAAACAATTTAAACAAAAAAAGAATTAAATAAAATTGATTTGGTGTATAACATTATGAATTTCTGTGTAAAAACTTTACATTATCTATATATAATAGTAAAAAGGCAGTCAGCTAAAAAAAAGTCCTTTGGAAGTTTGAGAGGTCGTAGAGGGGTGGGGTTTTTTGCTATAGATGGGAAATTTAATGTAGTTTTCAGGAAAAATCCGAAAAGTTGGGGGAAAGGGGCGAGTTTTTTAGATATTGTGAAAAAACATGAAATTGCGAAACTTTGAAGTGAAATTTGAGTATGAAGACGAAGTCGGGGAAAGTTGGGTCAGTTGAGAGGGCACCAATCTAGAAGATTTGGAATATGATAGAAAAAGAGTTGAAGTCAAACGGACAACTTAAAGGGTAGTTATTGATGGTGCAAAATTTTATGTCAAAGTGGTAACATTGGATTTAAGGTATTTAGAGGGGTCTGAGCAAAAAGTGGTTGGGAGAAAAGTTGTAGAGCGTGGTCGGTTTCTTAAGAAAAAAGTTGGTTTCAAGTTGATTGGATTAACGGGAAAAAAGATATGGTGTAAAAATTGAAATTTTGAGGATGTTTCATTAAAGTGACCTTAACTATATTTTGTTTTGGAATTAGAAGAAAAGTGTTGGGAGATGAAAAATAGAGAATTAAATTCTGCATCGAATAAGCTTTGTTTAACGTTTATTTGACTTTTTTGGACCGAAGTAATGAATTTTTTAAAAAATTAAAATTTTGGGAAAAAATTTTAAAATTTGACGATCTAATCCGTCCGATCTGTTAAGTTAAGCAACGGTGAGGCGTTTTTTGTAACTTTTGAAGTAATTGTCGTAAAAATATGATTGAGGTGTCATTCGACGTGGAAAAATCAGGCGAATTTTTTAAAAATATTTTCGAAGGGGTCACATGAGTCTGAGTGTGGTATATTTGAGTCTGAAGGCTAAAATCAGTCGAAATTAATTTTAAAAATTCTAAAAATTAATGGGAATAATAAAAAATGAATTTTCGAGAAAAAGGACACTTGAGTCTCATTTTTGAATTTGAGTCAGGGACTGAAAAATTTTATAAAATTTTATAAGAATGAGGCAAATTAATTTATAAGCTACTTTTACGTTTAATTTAATTTAAAAAATTCGTAACGCATTGCAGAAACGCGTTGCCGGAGGCAACAGCCAGAATTTAAAATTATTTTTGAGAAGATACGTAACGCGTTGCAGAAAACGCGTTGCCGGAGGCAACCGCCAGAATTTAAAATTATTTTTGAGAAGATACGTAACGCGTTGCAGAAAACGCGTTGCCGGAGGCAACCGCCAGAATTTAAAATTATTTTTGAGAAGATACGTAACGCGTCGCTGAAGACGCGTTGCCGGAGGCAACAGCCAGAAATTAAAATTATTTTTTTAAAAATACGGAACGCGTTGCAGATAACGCGTTGCCGGAGGCAACAGCCAGAAATTAAAATTATTTTTTTTAAAAATACGGAACGCGTTGCAGATAACGCGTTGCCGGAGACAACAGCCAGAAATTAAAATTATTTTTTTAAAAATACGGAACGCGTTGCAGATAACGCGTTGCCGGAGACAACAGCCAGAAATTAAAATTATTTTTTTAAAAATACGGAACGCGTTGCAGATAACGCGTTGCCGGAGGCAACCGCCAGAATTTAAATTTATAAAAATTCGGAACGCGTCGTGGAAAACGCGTTGCCGGAGGTAACCGCCAGACATAAAGATTATTTTTTTAATTCGGAACGCGTTGCAAAAAACATGCGGGCCGAAGGCCCGCATGTTATTATTAATTTTATTTTGTTGTTTTTTCGAAAATTTATAACTTTTGAAGTATTAGTCGTAGAAAGATGGTTGAGGTGCCATTCGATAGGGAATTTAACGAGGAGTTGAATGAACATATTTTTAAAAGTGTCACTTGAGTCTGAGAATGGATATTTGAGTCTGAAGTTTTCAAATACTGGGAAATTAAGCCAAATTGAATTTTTTAAATTGTAATAACGCTGGAGTCAGCCCTCATACCCAAAAGCTATTAAAACTACTCAGCAATTCGCGCCGAACGCTGGTTCTTATATTTAAAAATATTGAACAACTGAAAAAATAAATCGTACTCAATATTGAACAACTCAATTAATTTTAATCTTCTCTTTATCAACTATGTCTCTTGTTTAAATATGCCAAGCTCAAATAGAGGAAGGAGAGGAAGAAGAAAATCTGACCATTTTGTACAATCATAGGTAATAAAAATAATGAGGGGGGGTGGGACAAGGATTGAAATTACCCGAATTTCTGTTCCAAAATCACAAGTTCTCATTCTATGAAGCATTCCGAGATCAGTAAGCCATTGTTGAAATTCAGTTTCGGGCAATTTAATTTAATCATGTAATTTAGTTAAAGTAAAATTTTTTATTGATTGTAACATTTTTAGCGTCTATAACGTTTAAATTAATTGTGAACACATATTTTTCAAATGGCATACAAAATAATCCTTTGATAGTTAATTGCTACTAGCAAAACTTGCTGAAAGCAAAACAACAAAACATTTAAAAAGAAAGGAAGAAAAGTCCGCAAAAAAAAGTCCGCAGAAAGGGCACCTCCATCTTCATAAGTACCGCTATTTTAATGAATTAAGCAGCAAAAATTAAATAAAAAAATTTATTTAAAAAAAATTCGAGAAAATTATGAGAAAACAAAAATTAAAGTCAAAAAGAAATTGAATACAAAAAACGACAAAATGCTAATAGGCTTGGGATAAAATGGAAAAGGAAAAACACCAGCACTCGCGCAACCCAAACAATGAAAAGACAAAATAAAATTTTTAAAAATTTTTCAAAGAAGAAAATAATTTTTATTTTGTATTTACCAGCTGCTTTTATTTCCTCTCTCTCTAACAAAATAAAATTTGCCAGACTGACACAGCTGTGTGTGTATTTTTTTTTTAAAAAAGCAATGATGCAATAAACATGTGAAAAAAATCACACATATAATAAGGGTTAAGATTAAATAAATCAAATGATAAAATAAATATTTTATACATTGGACCTTATACTCAAGTGATTTTTAAATTTTTTAATTTTGGCTGAAAGAGGATTACTTTAGGGGATTTAATTTAATAATTTTCTCCCTTTCCCCAAACAAAAATTTAAAAAATTAAAAAATAATAATGAAAATATTTCCTTATATTTGCCCAATTCTCTTAAAAAAGTCTCCCAATAATTACTAATTCCACCTTCTTTTTTGTACACCTCCCCCCTATTTCCACGTTTTTTATTCCTTTAAATAGGTTTATTCGTTTAATATGCTTTTTTTCGTGATGTAATTATTTTCTTTCCTTACACGCCTTTTAATGATGCAATAAAAATGTTCTTTTACGTGTTTATTTTTTGATGGAAATGTGGTGGAACAAGGAAGTGTAAAGGAAAGAAAATAAAACATAAAAATAAAATTGTTTGGTAAACATTAGAGTTCGACATTTTAAAATTGCCGGCCAGGTACTCGGGTGTTTTATTTTTTCAAAATAACCAGGGCTGGGGTTTCCGGGCTAAAACCCAGAAAAATAAGGGGCCAAACCCCAGAAAAACAAGGTCCTATCAAAATATCCGGTCTACCGGGCCTGAAACCCAAAGCGTAAAGGGGTCATTTAAATTAAAAAATAAAATTAAAACTTTACTAGAGGTTATGTTCAATTTTTTATATTTCATTTTCTTTATTGTCCCGTTCTAAATACAAAACAAATACCATCGGCAACATCTCCTGCACAAAACTTTTCTGATCGTACAATATATTCCAACATTCTTGGAGCACAAACAACGTGAAAGAGAATGTTAGGTCGTTGAAGTCCGCTAGATGTTAACAATCGTTTTTCGACTCTATCCAAAATTGCCTGAATAAAAAATTGAAAAAACTTCAAAAGTTGGTACTTGTGGTTTCCAACACATTCACCCCCCTTTTCCTTATAAAATGTCAATACTGATTCAGATGAGTAACCTTGAAATATAAGGAAAAGTGAGAAGAGGAGCGAGGATTATGGGATGGAAACTACACAAACACCAAATTAAATAACCTCTTTTGCTAAATTCATTTTAAGCGTAAAAACCTAGAAAAAATAAAAGAAAATAATTAAAACATAAAAACAAAATTCAACCTCTCCCAAAATTGCGGCAAGTTCTTTATCGTTACATTTTCCCTCATCCCTCTTCTTTGTATGAAATGCCAACTCATCAACAGAAGAAGATATTCCACTATGTAAATAAGGTTTTGTGATTGTCTTTACACCATATGATTTAAGTAAAGCAGTTGTTTTAGTGTACGGACAGCGAAGACAACAATTTTGAATAGGCGCTGGTTGTGGAGGCGGAGGAAGTGGTTGAGGAGAAGGAAGAGGGCAGGGAGGACATTGAAGTTGCTGAAACAAAAAGAATTTTTTTAGTGTATTTCTATAATCTCCACTTTAAAATAAAACATTCACTAAATCCCCGTTAAATATTTTTCAAAAATAATCCTCTTACCTCACCAAATTAAAAATGAAAGTATTATACCTGTGGATACGGCTGCCATTGTTGTGAAATTGGTTGAGGTGAAGGCTGGTAGATGGTTGCTGGAAGCATTTGCTGTAATGGTGGCGGTCGTTGTTGATAAACTGGAAGAGGTGTTGGATAAATTATTGGAGACATTGGTTTTGGAAGTGGAACATCGATAGGCGTTGTTGGTCGAGCATAACCAGGGACAATGTAGTTGTCATCCCGTTGAAATTGCGGATTAATACGCTGTTTTCCCGTTGTTTTCGTTCGTTCATCCCCACCACTTTTGTTTTCAGCCTCATTATCTTCTATTTTCTCAAATGGATCTTTCACTTTTTCATGTGTAGTTTGTTCTTCCTTTTCTTCCGGATTGTGAACAAATCTTTCTTTGGCCGGAATAGGATTTTGATATGGATTTGCTGAAATTTTTTAATGATTATAAAAATTAAAAAAGATTAATTTTACAATTATAATAGGGGGAAACTGACTGCCTCCCATAACCGTATCCATAACTAAGACCCGGTTGTGTAGCATAAGGTGATGGCTGGGGAAGTTGATATGTATTTGACTGAGGTACTGGCTGAGGTGCTAATGGAATAGGAATTGGTCTAGTTGAATAAGATGGAGGCACAATTTGTTGTTGATTTGGAGCATAAGGAACTTGAGGTGAAGGAAGATAGGTTTGATACTGGTTTTGTGCTGGTTGTGGCAGAAAAGGTTGGTATGTAGTTGGCGGTGGCGGACAATTTGGTGTTGGCAATCTTGGTGGAGGTAGAGGATAAGGAGATGGAGGAGTAGGAGGGGGACAAGGTGATGGGCATGGTAGTTGTGGAAGTGGTAGTGGCGGAGGTGCAGGAGGAAGAGAAGGAAGAGGAGGAGGACATGGTGATGGACATGGTAGTTGTGGGAGTGGTGGTGGAGGTGCAGGTGGATGAGGAGGAGGACAAGGCATCGGGCATGGAAGTTGTGGTGGTGGAGGTGCAGGAGGAAGAGGCGGAGGTATCAATGGCGGTGGGCAAGGCGGTGCTGGCAAACAAGTTGAAGGTAATGGACCGCACAAAGTAGCTGAGACTACAATAATGCTGTTGTGTCCAATAAATAATGGAAGAAGCCAAGGAGGCGGCAAAAGCATAATAAGGAATAAATGCCGTAAATATAGATTCATTATTTTTAGGATATGTTAAAATTAAGTGGAAGTTTCCAAAACGAAGAATAAAAATAATTGTGGATGTAAATGGGCGGACAGATTTTAATGTAATGAAAATGAATGAAAAATGGATAGCTATTTATTTTAGGATAGCATAGAATTTGAAGGTTCGTTTCGGATTTGATGGCAGAGGATTTTTTAAAGGATGGCCTTGGCAGCGAGAGGAAAACAAGGGAGAGAGGAGAAACGTCCTCTACCATGGATGAAAATCACTGATGGATGGAGGATGCGCACCGTCGCTCCGCGCAACAAGGGGGATAGTTAAAGCAAAGATGTGGTATCGGTTAGATTAAGAGCACAATTTTTAACTTGAAATATATTCAGACGGCCATTCCCCCTCCAGTCTATTTGTCAGCTATTTATTTGGGATGATCCCACGGCTATTTACTTTTTTGTTATAAAATAAAAAGTAATACCTTTTGAAAGTTTTTTTCCTTCTTCATCGTTTGTTATCCTTTAATTGCGCCATTAGCTTTCAAATAATATAAACTCTGCATCATTTCGTTGCGGCGACATTTTTCCAAAAATTTTACAAAAAGTCTCCTTTGTTCGGCGTCTTTATTATTGTAGAAATTGTGATATATTCCTGTCATCTTAAAATTTAAAAATTTATCCAAATCCTCTCTAATAAGAAAATAAACCTTTCGATTCTTTTACAAATTTTCAAAAATTTAAATCCAATTTTTAAATAACAAATTTATCTTAATTATTACTCTAAGAATTTTTAAATGAAGGAATCAACAATTTTATTTAAATTAAATATATTTAGAGAACACAAAAATATATGTAATTGATGATTTAAATTATAAGGATTGCAAGATGTTTAATCCAAAAAATTCTAAAGAATCATTTTTTCAAATCAACTCTTCCCTCCATCACCCATTAATCAAAAAAATTTTTTTTTACATCTCGAAATCCATTTTTAAGTATAAAAAAAAAGAAAAAATAGAGAGACTTGAGGAAATCCAATAACACGAAAAGAAAAAAATAATTATAGATGAAGGAAAAATAAAACAAAAAAAAATTTTTTTAATGAAGACACAATTCATTTTAAGCAAAACAAAATAATTTAAAACCAAACAATAATAGTCAAAAAATGTGCGGTATTTTTTTTGGTTGGGAGAGAGAGAGAACAAATGAATTAAAAAAATATTCTTATGAAAAGAAAAACTAATTTTAAATGATAGAGAAAAATAAACCCCCAAAAAATAGGCAAAGGTGGCAGCAAATCCCCCCAATTATATTTTTTATAATTTTATTACGAGCAAAAGTGAACCTTTTAATTATATATCCTTCTTCTTCCATTTAAAGCTCATCATGCTCCTCTTCCACCTTCTTTTCCTCTTCCTCATCCTTCTCTTCTTCCTCATCACCATCCTTATCTTCATCCTTCTTTTTAGATTCCTCTTCCTCTTTACGTTTCTTTTCTTCCTCTCTAAAAATTGAGAAAAAAAATTTTTTAATTGAAAGTTTAATTAAAAAACATACTCAAACTTCTTGCGTTCTTCCTCATCTGCAGCCTCCTTTTGTTTCTTTTCAGCATCGCGCAATGGTTCAAACGTTTCCTTCGCATGAGCCTTTGCTTCATCAATGCTGTCCGTCACAATAATATTGTCGAAGATGGTACCAGATTTAACCTAAAAGTTAGAATTATTCATCCATATTATAAAATTTAAACAAAACCTGCCAGATATCAATACCAACAGAGCCCCAATCTTCACGCATATAGAGTTCATCATCAACTTTGTAATCAGGGTTGTCAATTTCCTAAAATTAATTCGATATGTAAAAATTAAAAAGAATAAATTGAATACCGGATGAATCCATTTGCCTTTGTAGTTTGGATTCTTAATCTGCTTAGGTTTCCATTCACCTTTATAGTTTGGATTATCAATTTTTGGTGCCTCCCATTCTCCGTCCATATCTTTAAAAATAGAAATAAAAAATTAAACAATTAAAATTTTAATTACCATCATCCCAGTCCTCTGGCTTCTTTGCATCTGGATCAGGAATGGTCTGTTAATGAAAATTTAGAAATTTAATAAAAGGAAACAAGGACTCACCTCAGGCTTATCCCAATCTTCGGGCTTCTTATCTTCAGGATCATCAATGTATTCACTTAAAAGAAAAATCATATAAGACAAAAAATAACACAAAAAACTCACGTCTCATCCCAATCCTCAGGCTTCTTAGCATCAGGATCCTTAATTTTCTTTTCCGGCAACAACTCCCAATCAGCCTCAAGTTCTCCACTTTCTGCCTTCTCTCCATCAATTTGAACTTCATAGGTGTTGTCTGGATTGAGAATAAGCGTGTACAAGTGAGTAAGCACATCATCCTAAACGAGACAAATTTATTTTTTCAAAAACAAAAATTACTTTGCATCGAATATCCTTTTTAATGAGCTGGTTCTTGTCCTTGTAGTTAATGATGACATGAACTTTCTTCGTTCCAGGTCCGCAAATATCAGGGCCAAACATAAGGTGGTAAGGTGTTTCCCCATGGAAATCCTCTTGATTAATTGTTGAGGCCATGAGCTAAATTGATTAATTTTAAATGATTAAATAAAAATCTCATACTTTAAGATAACCGCCACCACAGTCAATGTCCTGTTCATGCTTGATGCTGAACTGGATTACCAACGTCTTTCCTTTGTTGCTAAACTTCTTTGGGAATTTGGCAGAAATGCTATAGAAGCGAGCATCCTAAAAATTACCATTTAAAAAGAACAATGTTTAAAGCATACTTGAGAAGTTTTAAGGCCCTGATCGCGTTCCTTATCACCAAAAAATTTTCCAGAAGAAAGCTCGAATTTCCCGTAGTCGCTTTTGTGCTTAGATTGCACCCATCGATCGGTCCAAGACTCGTCTAAAATTACAAAATTAATTTGGATAACGGATAATTTCTAATATTTCAAAGAGAACAGTAAACTCTCACCTCACCAGATAAAAAAGAAAAGAAAACCTGAAAATTCCTCCTTGAAGAAAACTTCCCCAAAAGCTCCAAAAATTGACCAACAAGCTATCAGCAAGGATACAAAACAAAACCTGCTCACCATTTCTACTGTTGAATACAAACAACGATTTTTTAAAATTTAAAGGTTTTTAAATCTAAAAAATTAAAAATAAATTAATGATTATATTAGCGGCTTTAAAGGATATAATGTAATTTTTTAAGCACAGTCAGTGGTGTGTAAAGCAATAACTGGAGCCACGTATAGTAACAACCAATCGGGCAAGGACACACCACACCACCACCATCACAGACTTTATTCTCGCTAACTAGTGAACAAAATAGATAAAAAGTCTGCAAACATTAAAGAAGTAGAGTACAAACCGCGGAGTGAAAATTAGAGACAAATAAAAATGAAATAATGAAAAGAAAAATGAGAGCGGAAAAGAAAAGGGAGGAAAATTTTGTAAAAAAAATAAAGAGGGGGGCCACACTTTTCCTAAATATTTTTGACGGTCTCGATTTTATCGATCACACAACCTTTTTTATCTGATTTAGTACATTAGCCGCCGACCTTCACCCAAATTTGTAAAAAAAAATAAAAATGCAAAGCTGACAAAATATTGAGGAGGAAAAGTCTTTCGAGAATTTTCCTTTTTTAAGTAGGTAGTCCTTTTAAATAGACAAAGCTGTTTTTTAAAAACAAAGTGTTTTTATAGGATTTTTGCTGCTCTTTAATTATAGGTCCGGAAAATAGTAATAATTCGGCTCCATCATCTGCCAAACACACATTTTGCCAATAAGGCCAAAACAGACGTTTTGCCAGTAAGACCGTGTTGGTAAAATGCAAATTCTTAGCCTCATTGGCAAAATATGGTTTTGGCAGAATATGGAATATGAAATAATACGGCTAAACAATTAGATGGGAAAATCCGGAAAATTTTAATTCCCCATTACCGGGTTTAGTTTTAGCCCTTTGCCAGTTTGTTTTAGTAGTAAAAATCAGTAAATTATGCATAACAGCATCAATGAAAATCAGAAATAAGCGATTATAAAAATTAGGAAAATGTAGGAAATTATAGAAACGATAAATAAAAAATACATTGGGGCAGTGCCACCAATAATTAAATAATTAAAAATCAATTTAAAAAAATCTTTTAAAATTTATAGCTGGAATGGAGAAAAAAGATTAATTTTTTGAGATTATTTGGAAACGTATAAAAAAGCAGATAAAAAATTGAAAAAAATTAAATTATTAATTTAAAAAATATTAAATTATGAATTAAGGCACAACCAAGTTTTAAGAAAATTTGCCAATTAGCCCAAATAAAAATTTTTTCATTTTGAAATTTGGAATTGCGTCAAGGCTTGTAATGGAGGTTGACGTCTCTCCTTATAATATTAATTAAAAAATAAATTTTTTATACTAACCGAAGCGCGTCGAACAATTCCATGTGTATTAGTAATCTTTGCTGGAGCGTTGATTAAAGGTTGCTTTTGTGGAGCAGCCATTCGCCATTCAACAACATTCGGTTTTGTATTTTCCTTTCGACGATACTGAAAATTTTTTTTTAATTTTGTGTAAAATTTAAAAAGAAAATACTTTTGTGTTGGCAATATAAGCTGATTTAACTGTTAATATAACAGCATTTAACAAATTTTTGGCATTTTGAATGAGTGAAAATGCTGCTTCAAGTCCACTCACACGTAGCTCATCTCCAACAACTTGAACATCTGCTTTTACCTTTAAAGTACAAATCAGGGATGGAACATGTTGAGAAAAATGTCGGGTTTAGGGGTTTCGAAAATTTTATGTTGGGGTTCGGATCGAAAAAAGTAAGAGTTTCGGTATTAAATTCCGGAAAAGTTTTTACAATTTGTAAAATATTTTGTTAAATTCCAGAAAAGTTTTTACAATTTGTAAAATATTTTGTTAAATTCCGGAAATGTATTTATGTACAATTTGTAAATAGAAAGTGGAGCTATAAAAATAACGCAAGAGTACC